GCCCTGCCTGAAAGGGCCTTCACATGAGGAAGAATGGAGCAAAAAAAAAAAAAAGAAAAAAAAGAAATATCTGTTATACTAGGAACTGTCATTCATTTGTGCTGTCTAATATGGTAGCTGCTATCCAGGTGTGACTATTGAATATTTGAAGGGTATTGAATACCTGAAGGTGGCTAATGATTCTCAATTTGGCTTTTTCTGTTTGCTTGTGTATTTATGTAGCACTGTGGATTGATATCAGGACCTTCTGCATGGCAGAGAAATGCTCTAACTGAACCAAACTCCCAGCCTCAGTTTTGCCAAGCTTAAGTGAAGTCACATGTAGTTAATGACTACTACACAGGATAGGGCAGGTCTAGAGACAGAAGCCAAATCTCCTGAAATGGTATCTTCAAATGCTGCTTCATAAAAATAACTGCTTAGTTCCTTTTCTTACTTTGGCACTAATACTGTAAGCAGTATACAATGAAAACTTTATTATATAGATGTCTGAAAACTATTGACCTTGAATGCAAAAAATATGCATGTTTTAAGGCTGATATCAATCTGGTATTAACAGTTATATTTAAATAAAATTTCAAAATTCTATCTAGAAATTAACCTTAACAACTTATTATATATTTTATGTCCCTGATGTATTCTTCTAGGAGTCATTACAAATATATCCAGGAGGTAGACTAATAAAAATAGGTAAAACTGTGAAAATCAGCTGCTGCATGGTACACAATCTATCAATACACAAGTTTCTGGCAGAAATAATTTAAAAATTATATCCTCTTCCAAATAAGAAATAGTTCCTATTTTTTATAAAAAGGACTTTGTGTAATGATATATATATATATACAAAATAGCATATACACCTACTTTCTCTTAGTTCAATGAGAAGAAAGTTTTGAACTAATAGTGTTTAGAAAAGGTATCATATCTGCATCTTATACTATGAATAACTACTACAAAGACAGCAATATGCAATGTACTATTGTAACTGTCCTACTAACCTGTTTTGAAATGGTCTCATTACTTCCTTCTCAATAAAATTATTTAAAAAAAGGACTTAGTAACAGGTACTGTTCACCATGTATTCCTATTATTTGCATTAGTTTTCTAGGTCAAAGAAGAACATGAAATATTAAACTAAAAGCTTCTGCCATGTTCTAAAATAAGAATGTACTTATTTTAATGTTAAATTTTGCCAGTAAGCTTTAAAGAATTATTAAAATAACTGAAAAGAATTTCAAATACGATTCACTATTTAACTTTAATCAGAAATCATATATTCTAACTGCATTTATCAAGAAGACATTTAAAATCATTATATGAAAAATATGGCTCTAATTTGCTTGATTTATTCAATACAGTGTTCCTTATTTTGTTAATTATCTTTAAAAATTATGTGAAGTACTATTAGTAATTTTGATACAATTGATGTGTTTGCCTGATTATGGTTATAAATTACAGAAACTAACTTAAAATTTAATATTAAATAGTTCTGAAAATATAAAGGAAATTTTAACAAAAAATTAGTTTTAAGTTATTTGAATTTATTGGGATGGCAGAAATATTTGTTAGTCAAACAAATATCTTCTTTAAGCAAATATTTCACTGTTTTATAAAAACAAGAAGTAAGAGTCACGCCTTCAGTAGCTCAAACTTCAATCCTATAATGGACAGTTTCATTCCTTCAGGGACCACCCTCATTCTGACAGTGCAGGTGCTCTATCTGCCTGCCTTCACTGGTCAAGATCGCCTAAGATTCGAGTAGTGACTGTCATCTAAGAATAAGCTGGCACAAGGAAAGTAAGTCCTAGCCAACAGTTTTAAAAAACTGGCAGTTATTTTCATAAAGCTGGTGAGTGCGGATTTAGCCCTAACAATATAGCTATCATAATTCTAGAATGTATACTTTTCATGGTCTCTCTATGCCCTGGGAGGTCCTGTGATTTTACCATCTAGCAGTGCTTGTCAACTACGTCAAACTTCTTTTTTTAAAATGCATTTAGTACAGGGTATACAGGGTCTCACTACACAGATTGGACTCAGTGATCCTCCTGTTTTCAGCCTCCCAAGCACTGGGATTACGGGCGTGTGCCACCACGCCCAGTCTCAGTCTTTGTCTCAGCACGCCCTGGGGGCAGGGCTGGCAGGGCACAGGGGGATTGAACCCTAGTTCTAGGGTCTGCCTAAACAGCTGCTTTAATCCTCTGAGCCATCGGCCCAAGGTCAAATTTAAGAGCCCTTTAAAGCTTGTGGAGTCAATTTTGGTCTTCTAGTGTGGTCATGTCCAGGCTATTACCCAATAGTTACGAATTACTTTATTATAACTTACTGTTATTTTCTCCCTCATATTATATTGTTGGAATATTTTATATAGATTGTTGGGAAGATATATGGTATGATTAGGTCAAATCACCTATCATCTGCATTTCTACACTTTTAAAGAGGATATCATAAAATATTTGGTATAAGAAGGGTGTTATGAGATAACCCCCCACCCCTAAGCCTTATGCCATTATAAGTGGGGCTTTTTCAGAGAGCTCACCATTGTGAGTCCACTTGCCACCAAAAAAAAAAAAAAAAAAGATTGACGTACAGACATAAGAAAGTAACCAAGACTTTTGACTACTAATCTGTAGCCTTCTTTCAGTTAACACCATTGTATAGAAGATAAAATTCACAGACAAAATTAAAAGGCAGGGAAAGAAGAGCAAATTCTACCCAATTTCTTTTGTGCCAAATTCTCATGTTTTAGTGGTTGATTGTGGTACCATTTCCACTTTGGTGGAGTCAGTGCCTATTTTCCCATCAGTTTTATATTTGAACTCCTTTGAAAAAGTAATTGAAACACATCATGCATAGTACACGTGCACTGTGACATTCAGAAAGATTTTATAATTATATTTAAATCACAAAAAATATGAGATTAATTTCATAATGGTACAACTGAATTAAAAATGACAAAACATAACTATATCTATATATATATTTAAAGGTAAGTATCGGTGATTTTTAGCAACCTCTACCTGATTGATTCTAGAGCTATCATAATTCTTGATTTTATGAATTTTGCATCACCATTTATGGTGTCAACTTTTTAATTTTAAGCTTTTAAGTATTAAACAGTGTTTTTGCCTCCTTCTGAAACCTACCTCATCCCTCTAAAAAAGGGCAGTCTAAATTGCATGCAAAAAAAAAAGGGGGGGCATAAAAAAAAAAAAAAAACTGGGGCCAAGAAACTATTTCAAGAAGTGACTTATCCTATGGATAACCCACTACTATTATTGACTACTAGACTATATTGGATTATTTTACTGAATTCACACACCTACAATATTTAAATGGCAATGGAATACCCATCTCTGACAAAACTAAAAAAAAAAGAGGATATAAATGAAGGACCATTTGTATCCATATATACAAAATAGGATAGATATACAGCTACTTTCTCTTAATTCAAGGAGAAGAAAGATTTGTACTAATAGTGTTTGGAAAAGGTATCATGTCTGCATCTTGTCCTCTGAATAACTACTATGAAGACAACAATATGCAATGTATTAATTATTTAACTGTCCTACTAACCTATTTTGAAACTGTCTCATTGCTATTTGTTTCTCAATAAAACTAATAATAAATAAAAAAGTGAATTAACAAGTGGTCCAAAGTTTGAGTGTGGCAGCAGAAACAGGAGAGTGGAAAACACAGTTCATGTTTTAACTCACCACTCAGAATCTGCTGTACTGCTTCGTTTCCCATTTGTGCTGCTGTAAAGCCTTGCAAGGAGATGATGGAAGGATCAGAGCCATAACTCAGCAGAAGGCGACAAGTCTGCAAGTGACCTGCGAGGGCAGCTCGATGCAAAGCCGTCTGACCAAGGGTGTCCAGTGCATTCATCTGAAAAACCATTGTGAGGTGCAAGAAATTAAGCAACCTTTTACTTCAGCAAATAGAATTCTTATAAGAAAAATCAGCATGAAAAGCTTTTTAGAAAGTGCCATAGGCAACAACTATCAGTAACTTTTGCTCACTAATTTTAACAAAAAAAATCTTACTACCTCTTTCTCTGACCACCTTATTCAAAATTACAACACAGCCTTCCCTTCCTTGAATGATCGCCTTCCTGTCCACTCTCATCTTCCTTCAACTCCTCTGGACAGCAAGAATGTAAGGTCTGAGGGAGCAGGGATGCTGGCCTGGTCACAGTGAAGATGGTCACCAAATACTTTCCAATATATGGGTTCAACCACACTTTATTCCCAGAAAAGACAGCAGAACATGTAAGCAAACACTGGCAAAACAGCTATTTATGTCTTCCCTAATCTTAAGAAACACCTGATTATACAGGTTTGAGAGTCCCAATTTTGAAATGCCCAGGACAATTAGTGTTTCAAAATTCATATTCTTCCATATTTTGGAATATTTTCATATACATAGGAGAGATCTTGGGGATGGGACCAATATTTAAACAGAAAACTTATTTCATATATACCTTCTGCATATGGCTTGAATGTAATTTTACACCTTAGGTTTAGTGCACCTATGTTCTGACTGTGACCGCTCATATGAGATCAGGTATGGAAATTTTCCTTTGAGTCAAACTGACACTTAAAAGGATTCAGATTCTGGAGCACTTCAGATTTTGGATTTTCCGATTAGGAATACTCCACTATAACAGAATATTCACAATTGAATTACAAAGACATTTAACTTGAAAATGATTTGAGTGTTTGGATATTCCATTTTTAAAGCTTGAAGTATTTATACAGGAAAAAGAACAATTTAGCTAGTTTTAAAACAAAGGAAATGTTAAGCTTTTGCGTCACGTTCATAATGTGGCCAAACCCAACTGACCCTACGCTATGTGCCTGGATGTCCCATAGATGTCCTCTGTTCCAGTGAGGCCAGCGTCCATACTCATGGTACATGCGGCTGCTTTCACAGAATTCCTTCTTTCTGTCTTTCTCAATTATGAGATCCAGGCGTCTCTTCTTCTAAGAAGTCTTTCTTGATTATTGGAAGCTTCAATGATCACTCCCTTTCTGAGTACCTTTATCAATTTAGAATTCCTCTGCCTAATACATTACAACATTGGAGTGGCTTTATCACATTAAACTAAGCTGTATGTTTATGTTTTCCAAGTTCACTAGAAAGTTCCTGATAAGAAAACAAAGTAAATTTGCAAATATGCTCTGGTTGTTGGAAATATGTGTGTACACCCCCTAAACAGAAGGCTAGAGAAACAAAGGCTTTAAAATAATTGGTCTTCCTCTTCTTAGTCTTTCATTATTACCAATAAAACTGTCCTAATTGTTCAGATAAGGTTCATTTAAATTCTTAATGGTCTTTCATAAAAAATGCCATGAAATACCAAGATATTTAATTCTATTGCATTTTCCAAGAGGAAAATGACTATACAAAACAACACAAAGGTAAAACCAGCAGCATTTATGTACACACACACAATCTTCCAAGCTAGATTTTTCTTTCTATGAATATGTTTTGTTACTTCTTTATCATAGAAGAAAAAAACCTGAGAACTGCAAATATTAAAATCATGTATTTTTCTTGAAATTGGTTAAAAAGCATACTAAGAAAAATGAAAACCCCTGTCCTGTTTAAGTTTGGAAATATGGTTTAAAGGTTACTCTTCTAAAATACAAATGTCATCATGCTAAAAACTCAAATGGCTCTTCAGTGCTTTCATATAAAGTTGGATCCTTTAGCATGTCATTTAAAATGACCCTAATTCCTTCCTATGCCACCTTTCTTTTTGTCATTTAAAAATCACCAACTAATGGGCCTGCTATGCTCCAGTTCTATCCAGTTATTCTGGATTCCCATTATATGAAAGTGTTAACTTTTACAATCACTGCTAAAAACAAAATTAGCTGTTGTTCAAGATGACTCTTGGAAATAAATACCTTAGCAAATTCTATGGAATTTATAGATGTAACGTTTCTCAGTGAATCCAGTATCAGCCTGCTTTCCCTCCAGTGTCTGAGCAGAACAGCTGAACACCACATTACATACAGTACTTCTAAACATTAAAAACACAGTATGTCTTAGAAGAGGATCTCTCTAAAAATATGTATGGAGGAACTGAGTATGATATGGATGGAAAACAGATTAAGATCAGAATGTGTAGTATGTACATTTATGATTCAAAATGCCAAAACAGTTCTACAGATTACAAGGAACTAGCAGACAGAAATCTTTCTATATTCCATTCAGTATGAATAGCCTAGTCTCAGACACTAACTCTGAAGCTGTGTCCTAAACTGTCTCATACACTAACTCTAAATTTGTGTCTCTTTCCTTATCCTAAACTTAAAAGTATTAATCACGAATCATTCTGTACCTTTGGTAGTTAGGTATTTATTTTTAATTAATATTACTGTATAACTTAAACTAGCAACATATGTTTTAATATGTTTTAATCTAAACCTGATTTCAAAAAATACAAGAATTGAAAATACTCTTTGTATTCCTTTAGCTAGAGTGGCACTGTTTTTTCTTCAAATTTGGATACTTTGAAAGTGAACAATAACACATTAATAACTTTAATAATTTTATGAATGAGAAACAAAAGATAGGGCTGTCGAACAGGTCTGTTCCTGGTAGACAGAGATTAGGACAGATAGCAAACATATTCAAACCATTTTAGCTCAAAGAAAAGAAACATCTCCCTACAATCTCTGTTACATAAACTCTAAAAAGCTAATTTTGTTCAATACTGTTGCTATAGTTTGAATGCTGAATATCTTCCAAAAAGCCATGTGCCTGATCCTTAGGTGTGGTTCCCAGGGTGGTACTAGTGTGAGATAGATGGTTCTTTCAAGGAGTGGGGTCAACCAGTAGGTCTTTTGGTAATGGGGTTGTGCCCTTGCAAGGGATTACACTAGGAAAAGATACCACCTCAGTGCTAGAATAGTTAATGCAACTCTTAATGACAGCAGACATTCATTAATAATAGAATGCAGAATGCTAGGATACTGTAATAATTAAAAAATTGTTGCATGAAGGTAAATATAATAATTTTTAAGTAAACAAGTCAACAGTCTTGATATTTTACATGTCAATATTTGTTAAATATGGTCAAAACATAATAGGATTCGAATACACACACACAGACAGATAAGACACACACACAGACACACACCTTACAAAAATTTTTTTTTTCAAATCACCAATAAGTAAAGAATATTCATGGCATCTCAAATTAGCATTAATAATTTTCTCAATGTCTACACTATAATGTGAAATTTTAATAATTTTATTGTCATTATCCAAATGGCATTCTGCAAATAACTTGACAAAGATGGAAATAAAACATATCACAACATTCTGAAAGTGAACAGACCACATGCCACGCTTAGTCCTCCACAGTACAGAGGACTCCCGCAGGACCCCCTGGTATCTGCTATGACTCAGCTCAGCTGACACACCAACCCAGAAAGGATGCTGGAGCCCATATGAATTGCATATTAGTAAATCTTTGCTTCTTTATTCTTAAATTAAAAAGCAGAGATACTTTGACTATTGCGTATTTTTTTATAAACTATAGTGAAATGTTAACTATCAAAGTACATCAATTCTCCATACAAAAAAAATTCTCATATTAATGTGTATGTTGAAATCTACTTCAAATGGCTATAGTTACATATTGTATTTTATAGAAGATCAATAGTAAAGCACAAGGAAATAAAAGTAATTATTTTATTAGAATCAAGATTTAAATCAGCTCAAAAAAAATAAAAATTAAAAAAAAAAAAAGATTTAAATCAGCTCTTTAGGGGAATCTATAAATGCAAATACAAACTATCTGTTTTCAGAAAAATCTGGGAGAAATAGCAGTCCTAAGAGCAGCTAGCTGTTCAGCGCCAAACCTGGAGCTTCTGCTCTGGTGTATGTCTTACCTTTGCTCCATGCTTATGCAGAACTTCCATGACATCATTGTGAGCTCTTTCAGCTGCAACATGTAAAGGTGTCATGAAACTGGGGAAGAGAAAGGAAACAGTAATTTCCTCTCTAGCTTTTGTTATATTTCTTCAAGATTTCAACAACTCTCTACAACCACACTTACTCTTTATTTTTTTCATTGACATTCGCTCCTTTTCTAAGTAAAAGTTCTGTCACTTGTTTTCGTTTGGGATGTAAGGAGGCCACAGCACAGTGCTATAAAGTAAATAAAACTAAGTTAATAAAATAAGACTCTAATGCCACGCTGGCCCCACCGTTGGGCCCACTGAGCCGACGATAGATTCCAGGATTGGTGGCACACGCCTATAATCCCACCACTAGGGAGGCAGAAATCAGGAGGATAACTACGAGTCTGAGCTGCACAGTAAGACTGTGCACCAAAAAGAAAAAGCCTCTATTTAAAAGTAGATTTCTGAATTAAAGAACATCTTCTGACTACTTAGAACACTGTTAGTCACAAAGAGTACCAGAACACAATACATTTTACATTATGGAATGATCAATGAACAATATTCCTTCTAAACACATTACAAGTATAAAAGTTCTACCAGTTAAATTCCTTAAACATAAACCTATAAACCCTGGTGAAATTATGCTCTCAGGTAAGCATAAAGAGATAACATTTATTTCTCTCTGACTGATGAGTAAGCATTTAGATGTACTCCCTCAAAAGCATGAGGCACTACCTGCCCAAAGCTACAGAACTCTAGCAACTCAAGCCTTCATTAGCTGCTGATCACACCAGTCAGCTATCTCTCTTTTTTTTTGGTGGAACCAGGGATTGAACTCAGGTCCTTGTGCTTGCCAGGCAAGCACTTATTCCACTGAGCCATCTCTCCGGCCCCCAGTCAGCTATCTCTTAAACTCTTCCACTACTGCATTCTCAGAAGTATGGGGAATAAGCTTCTATGCCCAGGGACTGGCAAAAGCAACAAACTGGAAGCAGTTTGGAAGAAGAAATTATTTCAGAAATTTTATATTTTACTCTAAAAATTATACTAGTTTTACACTGTTTCATGTTAATGTCTACATTGAAATTTCAAAAATAAAACTACTTAGTACTGAGAAAAAATAGTACTCTAAAAAGCAGGTCCGTTTTACTCTGTGGCTTTGAGTTGTCCTGGTATAATGCTGTGTAGCTTGAATGTACAAGAATCTCAGTTTGACGGACATACATTTAAGAGTCCATGCAGTGTACCCATTTCCGTTTTGTGAATTTTAATGTTTTCAGTTGATACTAAGTTTTGACACTTGTGTGTCACTTACGAGTAAGAATATTACCGAAGCCTATGTAAAAGTCTGCATATGAGCACCACCAATGCTCAAGTTCTCATTAACCAGCCCTGTATCTGCGCTATAATATGGTCACAGCCAAAGAAAAGAAATGAATCTTTTTCAAACTGCCTGAAAAAAAAAAATGCATAGTTTAATGGCAAGTTGTGTAGTCTGGAAGAGAAAATTCACAATCTTACCAGTCTTCTACATGAATACAACCAGTTACTTGAATAGAATTGTTCAAAAGAATGATGTAAGTACCTTTGAAAATATTTGAATTTCCTACAAAAATACAATATTTATCTAACAAATAAATAAAAAGGTTTTAACAAGATTTCACTTTGTATTTTATAAAGTTATCTACTGGGGAAGACAAAGTAAAATAATTTGCAAATCAAGACTGAGCAAATGTCTATTCTTCCATGCAAGAAAAGAACCATCATCCCCTGAACCAAATGTAAAAACTAATGCAACCAAAATAAAAATTCTTGGCATTCCAGAGAGTAAAGTAACTTCCAAGTTTTTGAAATGAAAACCATTATTTTGTGCTTCCATTGCAATTATAGACCCAAAGAACTGGTTTATAAAATCTTACCAGTGCTGTTTCATGAGACTGTGGTTGTTTGAAATTAATGATTTCTAAAGCGAGCGTTTTTTTAACTTTGGCTAGGTCCGCTTCTCTTGCTGCTTGTAGTAAAGAATGACCTTTAAATTCATCTGGAAATAAAATAATGGTTAACATATTATAGTTTAAAATTTATTGTAAAATATTTAGCATGGTTATATATAAATAGGAATAACTTTACATAATTCTCTACTTCAGCAAAGGCAGTAATATGACAATAATGGTACTGCTAATCATGAAGGTGTACAGAAATAAAAAGTGAAATACATATATTCAAAATTTGACTATTTCATACTCTGAGTTCATAAAGATTCACGTATAGACACCAGGACAAAGTTTAAAACTGGGAACATAAATGTTCATGGAAAGAAAACCAAACAATTTGTGAATAGATATGCTAGATTTCACAGCTCTCAAACAAAAGAGGCAGAACTACACATACTGATACGAAAGTGTGTATTTATTTTTAATTTTTTGGTTTTTTTAAGACAAGTTCTTGCTGGCTTTGGGAACTGGTTCAACAATTCAGGCTGGCCTTGAAGTTACTATTAGCCCAGGCTGGCTTGGAATTTCCAGTGATCGTCCTGCCTCGGCCTCCTGAATTACTCTCGGCTCTGACATGAAAAAATATGTTATTAAATAAAAATTCCAACAGCCAAAAAGAAAAGATGGGATGATCTTATTATTTTTATATTTTTACTACTTTTGCTACTGCTAGTGCCAACACAATTAAAAACAAGTAGTACTACAGAAAAAGATGCTTAGAGAAATATATTCATTAGAACGTCGAGTGATTATGTCTTTACGCAAAGAAACAAAATGGGGGGAAACTATTTGAGTAAAAAATTTTGAAATAATAATTAAAATTTTATTATTTGTATAAGTAAACAAGAGAATTAAAATTCATACATAAATTAGTTGTATAAATAAAAATCCAGTATTATTCTTCCTCTTTTAGTAGTTGTAAGTAATGAGCCCAGGACCTCATACAAGCTAGACGGGGGCTTTATTACTGAACTCCTTAATCCTTTTGATTTTGAGCCAGGGTCTCACTAGATTATTTAGGCTGCCCTCAAACTTGCAATCCTTCTGCCTCAGTCTCTAGAGCAGCTGGGATTACAAGTGTGCCTCATCATGGCCAGCTATTTTAATAAGTTAGCCTGCATTTTCATAGGCCCACTCAGCAGCAAAAAGCTGGCAGTCGTGTGAAAAGGTGCAAATGATATATAGCTTAAAATAGTATACAACAATTTGAGCTCCTCTTTGTATCTGCATAGTATTCTTTCTCCTACTTTCTCCTTACTTAGGGCTCTATGCACCTACTTCTCTCTAAAGGGAAAGACAGGCCAGGAAGATAGCTCAGTAGAATAAGTGCTTGCCTGGCAAGTGCAAGGTCCTGAGTTCAATCCCCAGTACACAAAAAACAAACAAACACAAAAACAAACTTGCAATCTTTATGGGCTGGGGAGATAGCTCAGTAGAATAAGCACCTGCCTGGCAAATACAAGGTCCTGAGTTTAATCGCCAGTACCGCCAAAAAAAAAAGGGGGGGGGGCGGGACATACCCAGACACCAAGCCGTCTACACACCATGTACCTCATCAGTGACTACATGCTGTTTGGGTCTCAGTTTAGATAGTATAGACAAGCCTTCCTGTGCTTACACGATATTGGGCTAGAATTGCTGTCTGAGGCCCACGGAATTGGTATTAGCTTGATTACATGTCTGTCACCACTGTCCTATTTGCTATAGCAGCCATCACCTAGCACAGAGTGTGGCAGGTGTGGCAAGTTTGTACCATTTGTATATAACCTCCTTATCATTATGAACTTCCTCAAAATAGGACTTTAAAACTTTAAAAATAAGAAATCAAGGTCAAGTGATATAAATGTTTATCAGGAAATACAGATAACATTTTACATTTTTATTTTAATAATAGAACTGGGGACAACTGGATGGGCGAATTATAAACTGCCATATATGAAAAGACAGCTTTTGAGAACTGCAAAGGAAGGTGCCCAGTGAGAAATGAAACTAAGGGCAGTGCACAGCCTTGCTGGAGTCACCAGTCTAGAGAAATGCAAACTGCATGTCAATGAGTCTGGCTTTTTCCCAAATGAAAAACTTCCATGAATACCAAAATGATAAAGCACTTCTACATTTTCAATTACTCCTTTATATTCAGAACAAATGGCTTAGAAAAAAATTAAACAGCACATTTATGAAAAACACAGACTTCAGTACTTAAGAAATTATAATGCAATAACACAGCAATATAGCAGAATATTGTAACATATAACAATATTCCTTATTTTGGCTCAGTAAGGTTCTACCCAAAGTGATTTTCAATTTTAAAATAATTAAAAAATTTAAAAACTGGTACAGAGACTGAAAACTTTATGAACTACAGTATATAGATGCAAAATTTCTATTTTTATTTATTTATTTATTTTTTTAATGCCGGAACAGCCCATCCTCGGGGCAGGGTT